CCAATTAGGTATGATAAATGCTCGAAAGGATATTTTCAATAAAATCACACAGTCCTTACTTAGCCCAAATTCGCTTAATGCGATCTTTAACTAAGTAAGGAGTGCAGGGTATGGCTTTTAGTGTGAACAGGATGGCAAAGTCTGGCACTATGAATCTGCACTTCCTTGCTAAAGATTACAAAGTATAGTTTTTTTTCCTGCAATTTGTATCACTTCTCACACATTCCTACCTCACTTCAACCCACCAAAGGAGAAGTTAGTCCAACATGGTATATTTCCAGGAGAAAATTAATCAATCCTGGCTGGTTTTAGGCAGTGCGCGTGCGCGCACACACACAGACACAGATGCACACACATTTTACTCTGTCATATGCATATGCTGATCCACTTAAGTTAAGTTTAAAATAGACAGGCACTGTCTATAAACTTTTAACAAGGGCTAAAGCTTTAAAAAGAAATCTTCTAGCAGCTGTTCTTATGATGGCAACAACTAAAGAGGCTGTTGTAACTCAAACATCATATTGCAGTATTAGCATGCATGTGTAGAGGCCTGGACAGAAAAAGGTGCAAGTTCCCTTTTCAGCTGGAAACAAATGTACTTCCTGTAGGTTTTAAGAGCTGATCTAACCCATGGCCATTGCAAAAGGATAAACGTAGTACTTGGCTCTGTTTCTGCAGCAGTGTGAGTTTGTTATCTCTGAACTCTAGCTAGCAGTTGTTCTAGTGTGGTAAAAAAACCCCAACAGATTATGGTACTAATGGTGAAACAGTGTGTGATTTGAAGGTAGAGTAAGCCTGAGGAGATTTTCAGGGAAGCTTTAAAGAAACATTCACAATTTATGTTCAGAGTCTGACTCTTGACTCTACAGTCCATTTTACAGTTGGATCAGCTATGCCATGCAGAGGCTCAACCTTGTGAGGTGCTAAGCAGCTTCAGTTCTTGTTGAAGTCTATTGAAGTAACATGTGCTCAGTAGTGTGTCTCATGAAATGTTTGACATCTTCTGGGGCTGGGCCTTGGCTGAGATCTGCTGAACTGAAATTTAAAATTCCACTTACATCCAGTTTGTTAATGAAGTGGAATACAGCAATTAAACCAAACTGCCTTGGACAGGGAAGGAGCCAAATGAGGGGAAACTACATCAGACTGTCGACATGAAAAGAGAACAGCATGGGTTTTGCACATTTGTGTGCTGTGTTCTTCTCTTGATCTTGCTCTTTGTAACAAGGTACGCAACCAGGCCAGTAATTCTTAGAGCTGAGAAACTGGAAGGAGGTTCTGAACTCATCTTAAAAAAAAAAGCTGTTATGTCTCATATTTGTGGTTTCACACTATGTTAATGTTCTCTGGCCAGCACAGAGCTCAGTCTTTTCATCTGTCATGCAGACATTAACCAACATAAGCATGCAATAATCAGCAACCACCATGCACTCTTATCAGTTACTTACTTGAGCAGGATCACTCCTATGGGCAATTTTGTGGTTGTGGGGAGAAGGGAGAGAGGGTGCACAGGGCTCCAGAGTTCAGAAAATGGGCTCCCATTTGCCAGATTGACACAGAACAAAGCATCTGAATACTACGGGAGTTTATTTCCATGGTCTCCACCACCCTCCTTGCATATCAAGGTTGGACTTCTAGTGCTATCTCAGGATTGAGTCCCTTTCACCCCCCACCTGCATTTACCCAGGTTTTTTTTTATCAGTTTCATCTACTTCCTCCCAATGCAAACCAGAAACATCAGTTTCTCAGAGAACAGTCTTCTCCAAGGTGATAATGCTTCTCAGCTTCATTCCACCCACACAAGAAGGCTGACATCTGGGATGTGTACATCTTTCTGCTGAGGGGAGGAAACAAATGGCACTTCAGTCAGCTATCAGTTTAGGCTTGAACTTGTGGTTCCTTGTATGATGGGCAATCCTGAGCTCATGTACTGAACCAGGTCTTAACTAAGACATGTCTGCGTGGTATCGGAAAACAGTGTTGCCACCTCCCAGTCTGTTCCTGAAGTAAGCAATTTTCCAGAGACACAGAGCTTCCAATCCTGCCCATCTTTTCTTTGTTATATTTCACTGTAGATGTCAGGGTAATTTTACTTTGCTTCATTTTAATTGTTCTTTTTATTAGATTTTTTTCACAAAAAGATACATGGCAAATGTAAGTAACAAAAGTTAACAAAGTCAAATATGAAATGGGGTTAAAAAGCAATATTGATGAAGGAAAAAATAACTTAGTGAAACACAAAGTCAACACAGAAACATCAACAAAAATGAAAGAAAAACCAAAATTTCGTTTAAATTAGTAGACATCAAAGTAACAGACAATACCACCAAAATCATGCCTTATTATATGAAATGGTAACTGGATGTGTAATGTGACTTTCAATAGCAGGTGTGCAAAATTATCGCTCATTTTATTTCCAGCCATACCCACTTGTTCTTTACCACTGTATTCTTAAGGGGATTACTGCAAACTAGCACTCCTATCTGGTAAGTGTCACTAAATTACGGTATACGACCACTGCCTATTTAGTCTAAGTTGTTGCAGTCTAGTCTTCTCCAAAATCAGCTCGTTTGGGTATTTGTTATTGCTCTATATCTTCTGTTTCTGGTTATAGCTCTATGGGCACATGCTAGGTTGAATTAAAGTCAACATTATCCATCCCTGCTGTGTTTTTTTTAACTACTCTTAAAGATCCATTCACGGTCCCATAATGTAAGGGAGCAGCTATGGCTCCTTAATTATGCAAACTACCCTCTGGCACCAGTTAGAGTTGGCCTAGGGTCTGCTTTTTAATTTTCTATGCTACAGTATGGTCCTAGCCTGGTGCAGGATAGCTTAGATCAGCCCTGCCCGGAAAGCTAGGATGGGACAGTTTGTGCAGAAACCTTATACCAGCTGAGAGCTTCTCCAGTTGAGTGGCAGGAGAATCTGCCTCTAAATGCTTAAGATCCTTAGTTCTCTGGTTGCAGTCCAGTTAACTTAGCTCTTTGAATCCTATCTAAGCTTGTTTTCCCCTAATCCTGTCAGTGGAACCGTACTGCTAGCTACTGGGTCATGCCAGCTTGGAAAGGTACTGTGTATTAAAGCACATGTGTCTTGTAGGGAAAGGCAGTTACAGGAAGAGAGAATTCCTGATAAAGACACTAAGCATGATATGCAAAATATCTTTAGCAATTGCTGTGCAAGATGTACCAGTTGTCTGGTCTGCTATTAGGGACAATAGCCATTCTGAAAATCAATTCTGCTACATCAAATCTTGCACTAGTATCATGGGCAGTTAATTTCAGTGGAAGTTTTGCATTGGAAACTTGTTTGGGAAGCCTGGCCTTCAGGGTGGCCCTACATGGTATGCCCTGGAGGGCTGGGACCATGACTTACCACTCTGTGCGAAACAGCTGGGAGTCTGAAAGCTTTTCTGGTAAAGACATTGGCTCTAACCTTGGCTCAGCCCTTGGCTTTTCAGTACGGGATCTGGGAGCCCCATATAGTCTAGCTTAAACTTGGACTCTCAGGGATCCCAGGTTTGTAACATGGAGCTGGAACCTGGAAATCTTCGGATGGACTTCATCAGGCCAGGTTGCTGGCGGGGGAGGTTGTGGAGTGTCCTAGGGTTGGGACTGCAGATTTTTGGCTCACCTGGCATCTCGGACTGCCCAGCTCCTGGAGTCAACAATTATAACTGTCCTATTTAAGTAAAAGCATCCATGAAATGGATAATAATTACCATATTTAATCACATACCTACACAGCTTTCCCCCCCAAATCAGCATCCCATAGTTAGGGTATGTTTCTTAAGTGGGGAAGCTGACTTTCTATCTGAAATACAAACACCTGACTTTGATTCCTGCTCCCACTTTGATTTCTTCTCCCAGCAGCAGTGGCATTTCTACTCAAGCAGCTGAGTGAGTCAGTTGACTTAATGGTTCATTGTTCTTCACTCTACAAATGTTAATGATCGCCTCTCCTTTTAAATGGTCTTGATGTTCCACTAATCAACCTAAACTTCCACCTGAAATGTTCCTGTCTTTTAACTACTCTTTTCCTATTTCACAGCCTTGCAGACTACTTTTAACTCTTTTTCTAAACTGTAGCTCCACCTGTGGAGGCCAGTATTCAGCAGCAGTTTCAGCTCTTGGTTAAACAGGATGGGGAGGATGAGTGAACAGAAGATTAGGCTCTGTCCCTGCTCTATTCATGCATACATAAACATCTTTTTTCTTCATTCTGCCTTCTCAAAAACAAGCTGCATGTCTTATTTGGGGGTGTGTGGTATGCAAGGAAATACGGTATACCAATTAAACTTAGGAGGGACCAAGTTCCCTGCACTGTATTTGGTTTCAGAAGCACCACATGTTAGACTTCCTGAAATAATATTTTTTGAGACATCCATTCAGTTTTAAAATGTTGCAATTTTCCACAGACATTCTGAGATTTGGCAATCCATTCTATTAATTTCCAAATTGTTATAGCTACCATTCAGTCCCGTCTGGGGGTGTCCTTTAATGCTTCAGGAGAAAGCAGAATTGTGTACTGCTGTTTGAGTTCCAAGGCAACCTGGGATTTTATTTTCTCTTCCTACACATAGAACTTTATCTGTTAAACCTCCTTTATAGGAACTGGGGACTAGCTGCATGAATATCTTAAATGTTAAGAGGAAAGTAGAAGCTGATGATGTCAAAGTTCACTTGCTTATGCCACTGAGATATCACACCTGTTTGGAAAAGAAAATTTAGAAGAGACTAAACTGAAATAAGTACTGGGCCCGACCAAAAGCCCTGAGCACCTTTCACCTTGTGGGTGCTCAAAATCTGTACCTGAATTTGGCAGCTAGAATTTAATCTCGTCTTAAAATATATTAATATTTAATCTCTCAGAGTTTGTGTGTGGCTGGAATAGAAGACAATGAATGAATAATAATTATACCTTACATTTTATATAGCGCCTTTCATCCAAAAGGATCCCAAAGCACTTTACAAACTGTATATGTAGGGATCACTCACCCACTGCTGGAATGTAGCGACCTCTGGGGTGTAACGCGGCAGCCATTCTGCGCCAGCAACACTACACAACAGTGTTTTTAGGAAGGGAAGTGAAGAATAACTTATCCAGTAGAAACTATGAATACTTATCTCTTAAAGGAGCCCTTGAAATAGAATAGAGTATGCAGCTAACATGCAACACATGCAGCATGTTTTTACAGTACAGAAAGCATGCAGTGATAGCCCATATAGCATATCCATCATACAGATGCAGTACTATATAGATACCAGGAAGAGATGCAATATACTTAAGCATGCAATATACATTCAGTACATGCAGTGCACACAATATTTTTATCGTTCGCCACTGTGTTAGGTATTAACCAATTGCTGTACACATTAGAATGGGCAGAAGAGAAGCTGTGACTGTACACTGAGTTTTCTCACAGTCTGGGGGCATTCTGATGCTTTTCACTATTGAGGTATTGCAAGTACCCTTTTCTGGTAAAGCCACATCTCATAAAGCAATTTTTAATATAAAAAATATATATGTTCAGCAGGCAAACTTTTTATCAGTAAAGCACTCCTCCTTAGGATAAAATCATTTCATTTCCCAAAAGCTATCTTCATGCAGTATATCGGTGTCTTGTCCCCTGAGTTGATAGTTCATGGTATCCCCTTTACCAGCTGTTCGGGATACTGTCCCTTTATGCTTACTGCACTTTGTGGGATTTAATTCTCTGATTACTGGTACTGGTGCCTTCCACTTTCAATTTTAATCTGGTCACATATTTGTTATCTCATATTGCAAGTGGTAAATATCTTCTATGTCCTCACAGAATGCATCTAATTTATCTGATTGTCTGGCATTGGAGAAGTGATGGGGCACTGATAGATATGGGGTCAAGTTAAAAAAGAGCCCTGACATGTTGTGTGATTATACTAGGTAGCTACCCACCAGCCAACCAGAGGCCATCTTTCATAATGTATGCTTAATAAATACTTACAGTATATCAAATTGCAACTGTATGTAAATTACCACATAAATCACCTATAAATGTGAAATCCCATCAACACTTCTCACACATGTGACACCATACTGATGAATTATGAGACTAGATTAGTTGGAACTGGGCTGTTGGGTTATGATGTGAAATTTAAGCCAATGGCAGACAAAGTGAGTATATATAATAAACAAAGGGGAATGAAGCACCAGCAGTTGGCAGGGGCTAGGGATGGAGTAAATGAGGAGGAAGTAATAAAGGGGCAAAAAGGAAGGTGGCAGGGTAAGGAGTAGATAACTGTTTTGCATAGGGATAATAGGCAGGAAGTCTTGGGTGGGAACAACAGAAGAGTGGTATTCCATGCCTGGCATAGACTAGGATTCCAGTTTACACTCAGAAAAATGGTGAATTTAAGGTTTTTTAGATTTCATTAATTCATGGGGGTTCACAGTGTCATTTTGTGGTGCAATTACAGTCATATGAGTCAGTTATCCGTAGTCAGTGGAGACCTCCGCAGGGCAGGCAGTGCTTCTCCAGCTGGAATCAGACATTGTACATTCTCCTCTCTGTCTGTTGCAGAAAACTGGCTCTCCATTCACTTTTATATGTCAGATTTGCCTACCTGTTTTCACATATCATCAGCTGCCACTGACAACAGCTGAGGCTAACACAGTGAATATTTAACAAAGATAGCAAAAAATCCTATAGACAGCTAGCCTGTAGTCTGGTATCATTATCATCATCATCATCATCACAGGGATATTGTTCAATTAAAGCAATCATGGTTTACCTGTGAAGGCTTTTACAATATTTTTGTCAATAGGATTTTTGTATGCAAATAAACTTAAAGCAGCTCTGTGTTGATTTTTGGGGGTGGGGGTGGGAAAGGGGACTACTACTACCATAATTCCCAACTATCCTTCAAACAATTAAGAATCTAATCTGCATTTATTGTGCACTAAAGTTAAAAATGAAGAAAACATCTAAAATGGCTTTCTACAGTCCACTACTAAAAAGACAATACAAGCACACTCTTTCACCTTCTTCAGTCCCGGGGCCAGTGCCATTCTTGCAATAAATTAGAACAGCCTCAGAGTTGTCTCAGATTACCCATGGCTTCCAACAAACATTGTGTATAGGTAGGATATATTGTTGTGGCTCGTTGTGCACCCTTTTTTCTATTCCACTCAGGACACATGGGCCCAGGTAAAAGGATGGTATAAAGCCACTATAATGGCTCTAAACCTCCCATGAAGGGAGACGCCTCAGGAACTTTACAGTGGCTTTGAACTGCTGCACAGTGTTAGCAGGGCGTTAGTGTTACCAAAGCCTCAGTGTTTCTGGCCTGTATATTGCTCACAGGATGTTTAAAAATTCTTAGCTTCAAGTGGACTGCATTGATCGGTGAAGTTGTAATAGGCTATAGACTGATTTGATCCTCCAGGCTGACAACTCAGATCTTACCTAGGTAATAAAAGTTCTAATCTGATTTTGCTTAGTGGCCTATGTGAAATGTGTTGATGATCTAAGCTTAGCTCCTAGCAGATAGGTAACTAAGTTAAAAAACAGTCATCTTAATTGGCTCTAATTGGCAACCATTTCTACATATGGCTAGCTATGATGAAATATCCTTTCATCCTTAAGAATGGTCCATTCAGGTCACAATATCTCAGATCATGAGGTTCGAAATGCCAAGTATGGTGCCCATATGGATATTGAGTTCTATAAGAACAAAGCCTATTCTAGTTAAGCATGAATACTCCTATTGACAAAAGCTAGCCAAACATGAAATCTACAAAAAAAAAAAAAAAAAAAAAAAAAAAAAAAAAAAAAAAAAAGAGGGAAAAAAAAAAAAAAAA